TCCTCCCCGAGCCCTGCGGCACCTCCCCCACGGCAGCTCCCCACCCCAGCTCACCTCTGCTCTGCCTCCTCCCCGAGCCCTGCGGCACCTCCCCCACGGCAGCTCCCCACCCCAGCTCACCTCTGCTCCGCCTCCTCCCCGACCATGCCCTCGCTGCTCCATTTCACCACCTCTCAGGCTTGCGGCACCAATCAGCTGTTTGGTGTCACAAGCCTGGGAGGGAGACAAGCAGAGCAGGGCGGTGTGCTCAGGGGAGGAGGCGGAGCAGAGGTGAGCTGGGGTGGGGAGTTCCCCTGCATGCCTGCCCCCCACCCCTTACTTGCTGCAGGTGGCCCTCCCCGTGCCCCTCTGCCCTAGCTCCCTCCGCCTAAATGCCGACGACGACCGGGGCGGCCGAAGATCTGGCTGCCGCGGTCGCCGCCGAAGAAAATGCCGCCTCCCAAATGCTAGCGCCCTAGGCGACCGCCTAGGTCGCCTAATAGGTTACACCGGCCCTGCTGCCAAGGCATATCCACAATCAACTAACCCAATAATTTACATGCCAGAGAAAGTCAAAGCAGTCTCTTGATGCAGAGGGTATTTATACTCTCTTCCAGCTGCCAACAGAAATTGGGTGTGTAAATCCCCTGGTAAATGGTGAGGACACACTGTTATCCCCTAAAATCCAAGCATTTGACATTTATAAAGTATTTTCCAATCCCCAAAACACAGGAATAACTTCACCAACCAGTGAAGTACTGCCATCTCAGGACTGAACACATAATCTAACAGATCACACAAACTCTACCCAACCACTGACATGGGAAGTGAAAAACAATATCACATGCAGTTTAAATTGCAGGAGACATTTGTGTAAACAGAACACAATTAACCAAATTGCAATATGGCTTAATCCCTGACTAGTGAGAAAGTGGCAAAGATTCTATTACAAATGGAAAATTCTCCTCCTATGAAGCCTGCACAGAAATTCAAGACGACATAAGAATAATGGTTGGTAAAGTCCATGTATAAAACTATGACAAAAAGACTTTTATAGCCAAAAACCCAAGAGATGGTAATGTTAAACAAGTGAACATGAAGGGGGTTACATGACTTTTCCACTTTTTAACATCATAGCTATCTGTATTCTATCACATTTTGTCTCTCAGAATGAAATCTCTTGTTTTATTATCGGTCAGAACAAGTTCTCTCACAGGAAATCTCCGATGAAAATGAATTATTGGCATCAGTAAAAACCAGCCCAATGTTCTTTCTATAGTAGCTAATTTCTGACACTTTGATCCACTCTACATTTCTGTCCGTTGAATGATACCCAAAACAGGAATTTATTTATAATACCATCTACCAATGAGGTACATTACAATACGACAAACTGATATGCTGCCTCTTTTTGGTGATCCGTAAAGCTAGTTATTTAAGGTGACATTAATAAAAATGTCACATTACTTTGAGAGAAAAACAAATTTCACAAACTTTATACCAAAACTATTTGGCAATGCACAGGCTAACTTGTGCTGCTTGCTGTCTGCACTGGTATTTGAAACTCAGATGCTTTAAGGACACAGAACTCAAGTAATAAATCTTTAAAAAAAACAATAATATTTCAAATCAAAGGCTTGATGCTGACCGACCAGGTTCCAGCTCATGCTCATGCCAATGCACTTGTGTATTAGTACTGATCAAAGTGATTGTTATATATATAAGAATATATTTGATGTTTAAACTTCATAGGATGTTGCATGCATTGTTTTCATTTATCTGTATCCTGTTAGAATGTAATAAAAAACATCTACATTGTATATACCCCTGTAACTAAATAATCCTTTCTAAGAGAAAGAAGCCTTGTGTAATGTAAATGAAAAACTTTAACACAAAAATACCACATCTTGCGCATTTCAAAGCAAGCGGTCATTATATGTGATGATCAGAGATCAAAGACTCTAAATGCATTCTGCTCTCTCTGCCATCAAAGAAAGAGCTCATGTGGGTAGCCAAACTGTCAATTTGTTGACACAAAGAAAAGTCCATCATCTCTGGACTGTTTGGATTCTAACAGGGGAGAATAACTGAACAAGAAGATGGAGATCAAGAGAGTTATTCTGGGTAGCCCTGAGACACTTTTGGGAAACTAGCAGATTACTACATCTCTGCCACCATTTGCAATTAAAAACTGTTACTCACATGTACATATATTTTACCTGCTTTAACCTCTAAAAACTCTCATTTCTTTTTCCTAGATAATAAGCCTTTAGTTAGTTTACTACAGAATTGGCTACAAGCATTGTCTTTGGTGTGAGATCTAGGATGTAAATCGACCTGGGTGAGTGACTGGTCTCTTGGGACTGGGTGTAGCCTGGAATATTTGTGTTTGTTGGTGTAAGTGACCATTTATCACATAGTTCAGCTTGCCTGGGTGGCAAGACAGACTGGACTGTGAAAGGGGACTGTCTATGATTCCATGGTAAGACTGTTACAGTGACCCAGTAGTTCACATTTGATACTGGCTTGGTGAAATCTAATTATAGAACATGTCACCAGTTTGGGATGTCTGCCCTTCTTTGGACAGTCTATCCTGAGGTAGGCACTCACGGGCGTGAGCCACTCCAGACAGTGTGACAAAAGGTATTTCTGTTAATTTTCATAGAGCATTATTTTGCTCACTGCTTATAACAGCCAGTTGGAAACTTGATATTTGAAACAGTTCTGCCCTGGAAACTGCACACTAGTTTGTTACTGAAGAGCTGCTCAAAAATACTAGGCAGCTAGCTTTTTGCACTGAAACCTTTGTTTTGAGGAGGAAGGAGAGACACAAAGAATTACAAAGACTTCGCAGAGACAGGACAAATTTTAGGTCCCTTGAAAGTACAGAGCATCAGCCTTCACCAGGACTTCCTACATATGCAAGTTTGTGATAGGATAATGAAAGGGACATTCAAGGTGTTAAAAGCTTCATATCAGATTATCCTTAGAACATACTTATTGTCGTTCTGAACCAGTTACAGCAATGAGTAACAAAACCAAAGCCCCCATTTATTATAGACGGGACTCCCCCGGGCCCACAAATGTCCTAGAAACACAGAAGTCACAAACAGAAAACACCTGTAGTCACCTACTCCCATATTTGTTAATAAAGTGATCTGGAGATTTTCATTATAATTTTTGTCCTGCCTTGTCCTCATTTGTTCGGGTACAGGAAGCTGATCAGTTGCGTCGGGAAAGACTTCCATGCTTAATTTCCACTATCTCAGAATGACTATAAAACTTAGAACAAGAGGAATTCCCAGAAGTGTCTGATGCTGGAAGCTCAGCATCTAAAAATGGGCAATCCAGCATGGCAGTTAAAGATGAAAATATGTTAGAAACTGCCATTTTCTGTGGAATGTAGACCAGTATGCGTATAAGGACTGTTGAGCATCAGAGTACAAAACATGATCGAGTACCACAGCATTACCTGTTTGTAGCTATCTGGTTGTCTAATGAGATCGGTTTCTGTGACAGAGAAATGACCAATGGTCTGATCCATATGACAGCCACTAGTGTAAGAATGAATCTGAAACAGACAAAATTAGATAAACAGATACAAATAAATATAAACAGACCAGGTCGTTAATGACTGAAAGATGGTACTATCTGAAGGCTCCTTGGCGGCTTGCATGAAGTGAATTGGTGGTCATGACCCAATTCCCAACAGACAGGTGCACACACAACTGCCACTTGCTGAATTGGCCCTGTTTGTGACAGTGTCCTAGAAACCAAGGCTGAATGACCCTGCGGAGTGAACCTTCTTACTCATAAAATGGTCTCATTATGTCAGCAGTGTTACCCAGGTGGCATGCTGAAGTTTCCACTGTTGCTGCCTGGTTTAAAGTCAGAGGGCTTCACTTCCCAAGGTGTTTCAGGGTCTAATACTTTTATCCCATAACAGAATTCACCTAAAATATTTGTAAAGCATTAAAAAGTTATTAACACATTTACACACATACCTGTTAGAGCTATACACAATGTATAGCTTCTGATCTCTTCCCTTAATGCAGAAAATGCCATTAGGTATATTAAATCTTTGCTGTAAATCATAACTAGCTCTTTACTGATGCTGCCAGAAACTTGCCCCAGCTGTTTTGATGATATCATCATCAATTATATGGGGAAGAATCTTCCCAAGTTAGTCAGGGGAACAATAAAAAGCGATTCCCTCTATTCAATGCTGATCCCTTTGTTACTGTAATAACTGCAGCTGTCAGACAAGATACTAGTGCACATTTGTCATACAATCTTTCACATTTCATTAATATTACTGTCCGCATGACATGAGAATGTTAGTTGCTTTTCTTCCCTTGTTCTAATATTACTATTATCATGCACTTAGGGATTGACAAATATTTTAAATTGATGATTAATTATCCTGTCTCCTTGAAACTTAACATGATTCTGGTATTCCTTTTTCAAAACTCACTTCTGGTGGCAATCCTCTGGCACAACACACAGGTCTGTGCAGAAGTTTTTAAAAAAGAAACAGCTCCAAATGCATTTCTCTCACTCTAAATCATGTCGCTGCTGCTTTCTTCCCTTTATTCAGTTCTGGACTCTCCTCCATCCTGATGTATTATGGCAGAAAATCCTTAGGCTTTCTGGAACTAGGATTCAGATCTGACCTCTCATCAGTCAAAAGTCACGTCAAAGAGATCTTAGGACATAGCAACGTGAAGGACATCAGGGTCTTCAACCAAGTCGGAGTACTTGATTGGAATGGACCTAACATTGGTACCATTGTAAAGGGTCAGAGCAATTCCTTCATCGTGAAAGCCTAAAGACAGTTTTCCTGGGCTCTTGGGCAGAAGGGTACACAGATTAAACAGGACTTAGAAGAGCCCCTCCAACAGGCATCAGGAACAGGGCACACATTTGCCCAAAATAGACATTTTTCTGCCATAGAAGACCTGGTATTTAAACTCTGCCTTCTGGGCTAACACCTTCTTGGGGAGGTAACAGACCCACAACACACAGGGCCACAGAACAAGTTGAATCCCATAAGATGGCAGGCATTACATATAAAATACACTACCATACGCCTCCTTTTTTTAACACACTATAAAGGAGGCTTATGGTAGTGTATTTTATATGTAATGCCTGCCATTACTACTAAAGCCCAACATCAGGCTGAAAGAGGGAAACAATAGCAAGAAAAATAAATTCATCTTGGAGGACTCAGAGTTATTTTTAAGATGCTAGTGAAAAAAATAGGTTGGAGTGGCAAGAAAGAAGCTCTTCATATAACCTTGCTCTAATGAGCGCTGCGTTTCAGAAGGTTCCAAGCTCTCTGCTGAAAGCATGTGGGGAACATGTGCTGCCACAGGAACTGCCAGACCAAATGAGGCCAGGTCCACCCAGCCCAGCATCCTCTGACAGTAGCTAGCACCACATCTTTCAGCAGAAGATACAAGAAATTCTGCAAATGCAGTTATGTGATAACTTATCCACAAGGGAAAGTTCCTTTGGTTGAAGATGGTTTATGCTCTGAAGCTGGTTTATGCTCTGAACCCCTTCAGTACACTTCTTTTAAATATTTACTACTATAACTAAATAGTCTTGTGGTCTAGTCTGTATAGATGTCCAAACCTTTCGTGAATCCTGCTAAGCTTTTGACCTCAATAATTTGTGGTAAGAATTTCCAGAGGCTAATTGTGCAGCATATGTGAAAAAGTATTTCCTTTCATCAGGTTTAGGAACGATTGAAGGTCTAGAAAAATCTGCCTTACAGTAATAGAGTAAAGAAGCTCAATCTATTTCGTTTATCCAAAAGAAGTGGAAGAGGGGACTTAATCATTATCAAGAAGAACCTACTTGGAGAGAAAATATCTGACAACAGAGGGATCTTTAATCTAACAGACAAAGGCAGAACAAGATCCAGTGGCCAGAAGCTGAACCCAGAAAAATTCAGACTAAAAATAAGACACTTTTTTTAAAAACAGTGAGGGTAACTAACCATTGGAATATTTACCTACGGATATGGTGGATTCTACATCACCTGAAGTCTTTAAATCTAGATTGGATGTATCCTTATAAAAGATGCTCTAGCTCATCCAGTTATTGGGATTGATGCAGGAATGGTCAGATGTAATTCCATAGCCTGTATTATACAGGATGTCAGACTAGATGATCATAACCCTTCTGTGCTTAATAATGTGCAACATTGCTCCTTTCAGTTTTGCTCACTTCCCTTTGTCCTTGTATTATGAGTAGGGCCCTAACAAATTCACAGCCATGAAAAACGTGTCACGGACCGTGAAATCTAATCTATAACCCTGCACAGGGCTCCAGCTGCTAGTCCTCTGGGGATGGGGAGGGAGATAACTTCCTCTTTCCCTGCAGGGGCTGCCCTTGGGGCAGGTCACACCCACCTCTGGGATCTCCTCCAGCTGCAGGAAGCTCCACGGCTCAAGCAGTCGCCTCCCCCCACACGGGAAGGCAGGGAGCTCCAGCTGTCATCCCCCCAATGGGGCAGGAGACTGCCAGGAAAATGGGACCTATGGTAACCCACCCCTCATACCCTGTGACCCTCACTTCTCTGCTTCTGCTGGCAGTTGCACTGGCTTTACAGCTGGGCACCCAGCCAGCAGCCATCCTCTCTAGCTGCCCAGCTCTGAAGGCAGTGCCACTGCCAGCAGCAGGGCAGAAGTAAGAGTGGCATCCCATGATCCCCCTACAATAGCCTTGTGACCTTCCCACCCTTACCTTTTGGGTCGGGACTTCTACAGTTACACCACCATGAAATTTCAGATATAAACATCTGAAAACATGAAACTGACTAATTTTAAAAGCACCTGGTTGTGAAACTGACCAAAATAAACCCTGAATTTGGTAGGGCCCTAATTATGAGATACCACATTTCCTCTCTAAAGGTCTGTCTATACTGAAATCCAAAGTGTGTGACTGCAGCTCAGGTAGACAAATGCATGCTAGCTTTAATCTATCTAGCATGGATAAAAACAGAAGGAAGCTGCAGCAGCATAGGGTTGAGTGCCTGGCATTCTAATTTACCAAGTTTATATCTTAACTTTCTCACACTGGTGTATAAATAGACATGGTTATATTCTGAGCAGGTACCCAATTTTGTAAATCCATGATCTGACACCTTACTGAATTAACAGAATTTACCTCTGTGATCACAACTTGCCCCTCTTCCAGTTCAATAGCAATTTCTGTCTGAGCCTTTTACAAGATACAGAGATACCTCACAATACCAAACAGAGAATCATCATGTATTCCTGAAATTCAGGAACATTCTGATATTTCTTTTCACATACTTATTCTGGCACAAAAACAAAAAAAATCAGTTTTAAAAACAATTCCATATAAATTTACAATGGACACACTTAAAAAGTCCTTTCCTGCTTTAGCCATATTATGGTTTCCAGCAATATTTCCTATACCTAACATGCAGAACACTGACAGAATTACTAGTATCTCTAAAACCAGAATGAACTTAAAGTGCATACCCAGAGTCTGTTGAATGACACTCCAAATACAGAGACTAGCCTGTCAGAACCAGTTTGAATTAACATACTGAAATCTGTAGAAAGTTGCCACCAGTGTGCTAAAACTATAGATTATCATCAGCGATAATAAATTCTGTTCAATATTCAAGATACATATCCTCATAAGTTATTAAACACAGTGAGTAAAAGCAATAATTATAACTTAGTAGAGCCATCATTCTGAAAATCTGCCAGTACAACAAAAAACATTACACCTCCCCTTTGCATGTGGTGTCTGTGGTTTCATACCATACCACAACAGTAAGATCTCATATACAAATCATATTAGGTCAGCTGAATTTTCAAATGGAATTCCTCAAAAACCTCAAACTTTTGATAGATGGCAGCTTATTTTAGATGATAAAAACTATATTAATGCAATGGTATGGCATATTTCCGCATCCAGGGGGGCCAGGAAATATACAATCATGGTGCACACAGCAGCTGCAACTTGACCCTTTTGTGCATATATAGTGTTTTCTGTGACCATGTTTAACTACTAAGCATTAATATATATATATGTAATAGAGCACTGTTACAAGGCATTTAGAACTTTATCTTTCAATTATCCAGAACACAGCGCACTGTTATTGCTACTCTGCACTTAACTCATACTGTAGTGCCTAGGTATCAGAGCACATGTAATATTGTTAATGGTTAGTGGGCTGTAGTCCACGAAAGCTTATGCTCTAATAAATTTGTTAGTCTCTAAGGTGCCACAAGTACTCCTGTTCTTTTAACGGAGCACTGAATACTAGAGCTCAAATCCATCCTTATGTAAGCAGAGTCAGGATGAGCTCTGCCCTGACATCTGGTGGTGAATTATGGCTATTGTTGTGGACCTCAGTACAGAGGTCAAGGACTTGAATCAGCCATGAAGCACAAACTGCCCTCTTTCGTTCCAGGTCAGGATTGAGCCACATTTATAATGGGCAGTGTGTAGTAAAAGTTCTTCACTGCTGCACACGCAGTACCTAATCAATGCTACATGAAGGACTTCAGTCTCCAGGTTTTCAGTCAGGCACCTTCCACTAGTGATAAATTCATTTAAAAAACAAAATAAAAATTCATTAAAGTCTTAAGATTGTAGTGCCATATATATAGTCATTAAAGCTGAGAAGGCATCTTCATTCAAACCCTCTTGTTCTCACTTTCAGAACTTTCTGATAAAAGCTTCCCTTTGGGCTGCAATTTCTCAAGCTCATTTATAGCCTCAGAGACTGTATGGAGGTTCCCAGTGGCTCTATTTCAGTTATCCAAGCATATGAAAAAGGTCTTTCACTAGTGAAAGTATTTTTAGATATTTATTTTTCCGTCCATGGCCATCAATGCTCCCAACTGGGAGTTGCAGCTCTAAGACTTCCCTTCTACCCATACAGGCAATGATGCTCAAAGCTGTTTGCAAATTTCAGGTGAGCATGCAAAAATCAAGCTTAAAATGGAAAATAACTTGCAACCTTGACTGTGCAGAGGCTACTGCCACTCTGTGATTTGGAATTGCTTTAGCTTTCCTGGTTTAAATCAGATTTTCACTACTATTTTAAGAAGAGGGGGATTGTATTTAATTTTCCAATTGTTGCTACTTTTGATGCTAAAGTTGTGTCCAACACTTTGAATAAAAAATTGAGAGGTGGACATCTTGCATTACATTTCTGCGTGTCTGTATGAGTAACCTGCACTTCTGTCCTGGCCAAGCAGCTCCCAATTAGGAGGACATGAAGAACAAGCTCAGACATGTTCTGATAAATACAGAGGGAACCTACCTTGGTGGGGAGGATGGTGAATATGCCAAGCTGTAAGGGAGAGCCACTCAAAGATTATAACCTTGTGGCCATGATACATAATCCATCGGTTTTTTCAGGATTTTGCATAGAGGATTGAAGAGGGATATATTTGTATTTACAGGAGTAGATAAAACACTGTACAAAACTAATGAACCAGTGTTAATTACAGACCTGGGATTTACTGGTAGGGCATTAAGAAACAATTCCACTGTGAGTCAGAAGAATTTTTACCTTATGCAAGAGTTTACATTGCTCCTGATGGTCAACGTGCAAACTCCGCCACTGGAACCGCAGCCTGCCAGTTAACCACTGGAGATATCTCACATCTACTTCTCTTTTCAAACAAGGTTCGAGTGCTATTTCGGTCCTGTCCTTCCAGCTGTTAGAGAGATTATCTTCACACTAAAAGCAGAAGATAGCAACAAAATGGTTTTAATCTTTGTCTACATTTTCAAGTCATTAAGCAGTAGATAGCAGACAGGATGAATAGGACAAACACCGGCCAAAAAAAATAATCAGCATCAGAAAAGAAAAGAATCCCCTGAAAACAAGTCATAAATGTTGGAGAGGTAGGTGCACCTATGGTGGGTATGCCCTAAAATAATAGTATTTTGGAGGAAAGTAAAAAGAATTTTGAAGGTCACTAAAGACACGCTACCCACAGAACCCATAGTGATTCTACTAGGTTACAGTCTTAGAGGCCCAGCTAGGGTGAGGTTGGCTGAAGTGGAATTAGGGGCCCACAAACCCTAACCCATAAATCACTGTCTCATCCTTTTATCCAGAGTGACTCTACTCCTCTGACATAGACTTCTGTGAGGCCACTGCCTCGTGCTTGTATCCTGAATGACCAAGGTGTGATTTTAGTGGAAATGAGATTTTTATCATTTTCCAACTTTCACCAAAATCAACAGGGTTCTGCCCACTGATACCTAGAACATGTCCTGAAACTGATCAAATGTAGTTTTCAAAAGTTATCACATTACATAGATACAAAAAGAGAAACGCCATCAAGTTGTGTGTAAAGCCTCAACTTCGCTCGGCCAAAAATACTATCGGGCAAAAACGTTGCATGGTTCCTACCTGACGGGCTGATTGTCCCTTCCTCCCTGTCTCTAAGGCAGAAGCTTTCACGTGAAAACCAAAGAAACCACATTTAACTGCATGCCAGGAAACACCCAATTCTCCAGGATAGCACAGTGCATTTCTATGAGAAAAATTCTTTGGAAGATAAAGCTTTTTCCATCCAAAATTTGTATGCAGTGTAGTTGTTGAGTATCTTGAGCAACAGGAAAACCAGAAAGAAATCAATTATCTTCTGTCTTATGGTCAGTGTGGCAACCACCTGACTAAGTATTGCACCCTGATGTCAGCCCAGTCAGCTACAGGAGCTGAGTCAGTGACCTCACAAAGGGACTTGTGTCTTGCCCTTCTCAGCCCTTGCAGGCAAGCTCAGCATTTTCTCCAAGCTCTGTTTTGCCTTCTACCAAAAGAAAAGAAGGCAGCAGCTAACAGAAGATTATTTCAATCCATCAACCTCTGTGTTCTGGATCCTGTACATTCCGCACTGTTCCACCTCTACATACGTTGAAAGAAAAGTTGAAGTCTCAGCTTTACTGGGGGAGCATTAGCTGGTGACCCTGGGATTCTGAATGCTTCCTGCACATGGAGAGGTAGGTCAAATTTTGAATCTATGATGATTCACTTCCTACAGTTTCTTTCTGCAAGGGAGGTTGGCTGCACTCAATATTTCCCTCATCCTTGCTTTGTAAATTAGCAAGGATCAGAACCACTAACAGACCATCAGGGTTTATTTAAAAAACAAAGCTACAAGCAGAAAGAATCTGATGGCTGTGTTTGCCCAGCCCTTTCCTCTCCAGGTAACCCCTCTTAAAGGAACAGAGTCCACAACCTGAAAAAGGCTGAAAAAGAAGAGGGGAAAATGATGAGACACCACCCTGATTTCCTCACCACTCCAGCCTGGGCCTGGAAAGGTGCAACAGGAGGAGAAAACAAGGTGACCTTGACTATAACTGACAGGAATGTGAGAAATTAGAGCACCACAGGCCATTTTCCAGAAGCAGTTGGCTGTCTCTCCATGCTCCCGCTTTGCATAGCCTCCTTGGTGTGTGTGTGTTTGGGGGAGGGAGGGAGGGAGGAGGAGCTGCAGGAGTTTCTTTAGCCCCATTATTTCCCCTCCCATCCCACTTCGATCCAAAGTTCTGCTGCCACATGTGCTCCAGGTGGGTGTGATAATTCTGCCACCTACCCCTTGCTGCAGGGGTCTCTGTGTGCCTGTGATTACTCTATTGTGTGGGCAAATTCTGGTGCCCCCCTCATGCAGATGAGGACTGTGCCACATGTCCATGAGATCTTTCTGACTCATTTCAACCAACACAACTGCAGCATGCAAATTAACTAGGGAGGAACGATGATTGATTATCTCTGATGTCACAATTACAATGATTAAGAAAGACTTGAGCTTTTGACATGGCCTGGACTAATATTATAATTAGATACAATAATCATTAATAATTTTTCTTAATTACAACATAAATTCTTCAAATGTAGATTATTCAAAGCAGTAATGAAGATGTGTGCACATGAGAATATTTGCGCCTTCAGAAACTGTGGTTCTGTACCTGAAGAGAGCTCCCCACCCCCGCAAATGATGTCACCCCAAGATAAATTTCTTTAAAGGGGGCCATTTTAAAGTGTCTCCTGCTGAAGTTAAGACCCCATTTCCAAAAAGCTCTTAAGCAGGTGCTTATATCCCACTGACTCCAATGGAATTTAAGCACATGTGCTTTCCTGAATCAGAGACTTCAATGTTAACAAGTAACATCTTGTAAAAAAATTCAACTGGTCCATGAAGGGTGAATGTATTTTCAATTTCAGGCCTAAACTAAAACTGCAAATCGTAAAAAAAAAAAAAAAGATTTTAGTCCTGTCTTAAACGTAAATTTCAACAAAATCTTAAGAGGTGAATTAACCACAATGCAAGCCTAACTTAACCTCATCTGCTAAGATGCCCCCGTAATACTGTATGGGTGTATATTTATTAATAAACATGGAAAAAAGCTAGTCTGACTGCACGGCGACCTACTAGTACTGTGGGTCTTTCCCTTGTTCTGTGGTTCAATTATAAGTGCTTACTATGGAAACAGACAGACAACGTCCCCATTTTGCCAACAGGGAAATGAGGTCACCTTCCCTGGATCCCCCTTGTCCAGAAGTTCAAGGCTGTTGCCTCTTTACTAAATAACTTTGGCAAACACATCTAAACAGAACAGCAGCCTATGGCTCACATGGTTTTGCCAATGTTAGCAGAGGCTACTGAACTATGAAATTGTATAAAAACAGCAGTGCAGTTCATAAACTTGGCAACACAAACAATTAGCTTGGGGAACACCCATAGCTGTATATTACAACATTAAAGCATCAAATGTATATGCTACCAAGGAGCTATATCCTCAAACTCACTGGGTTACAAACATTATACTAGATTCTGCATTCCCTGTTTTTTATAGACTCATAGACTCTAAGGTCAGAAGGGACCATTATGATCATCTAGTCTGACCTCCCGCATGTTGCGGGCCACAAAAGCTGACCCACCCACTCCTGGAAGAATTCTCTCCCTTGACTCAGCTGCTGAAGTCCCCAAATCATGATTTAAAGACTTCAAATCACTGAGAATCCTCCAGCAAGCGACCCCTGCCCCATGCTGCGGAGGAAGGCGAAAAACCTCCAGGGCCTCTGCCAATCTACCCTGGAGGAAAATTCCTTCCCAACCCCAAATATGGCCATCAGCTGAACCCTGAGCATGCGGGCAAGATTCTCTAGCCAGACCCTCTGGAAAAAGTTCTCTGTAGTAACTTTTAATATCCCATCATTGACCATTGTTGCTAATTACCAGCGATGGCTCGTTATTGACCTAATGACTAAAATCACTTTATCCCATCAAACCATCCCCTCCATAAACCTATCAAGCTTAATCTTAAAGCCAGAGAGGTCTTTCGCCCCCACTGTTTCCCTCGGAAGGCTGTTCCAAAATTTCACCCCTCTGATGGTTAGAAACCTTCGTCTAATTTCAAGTCTAAACTTCCCGACGGCTTGATTATATCCATTCGTTCTGGTGTCCACATTATCACAGTGCTGAAATAATTCCTCTCCCTCCC